CGTATCCAAAAGATTTAATCTATCAATTGGATGTAATAATTGAACTCGGATTAAGAGAATGTAGCCTGATCATGAGCTTCAAGAGTACAACACTTAAGGTTTTTAGATACCTCTAATTTTGCACAGACATTTATAATATTGTAATTATTATTACTTATTAAATATTGCGTGTAAAAGAAAATACCTACTTACACGAGTTATATTCAATGTTTTATGAAAATAAAAATCAAGAGTAAAATCAAATAATACGATACTATATTTATCGATAATTGGATAATCATTGAAGTTTTCGCGAACTATATCATATAAATAATACTTACTGTCGTAAATGATTTATCACAATCGGAAAAATGTAATGGGCGTTCAAGTTACAGAGTTCGAGGCTGTTACCTATCGATTTCGTTATGATTTACAGTCTCGTTTTCGTCGCTGTTCGATTATTATCATTATTTAGTATTCTATAATATATAACGGTTTATATCGTATAACATTATATCTCCGCACTACTATTTATACACATATTATAATACAGTGAAGGGCGTCTAACTATCCAAGGTCGATGACTATAAGTTCATTCGCATTATAGCGTTCATCACGTCGTTATTATTATAATGATCATCAATGCTTAATGCTTCCATTACCTAAGCATTGACATTCAACGTCTTCTCCGTTCGTTCACCCATGTTTATTTATTGAATCATAGGTGTCGTTATATTATACGTATTAGGATCGCATCGTATATTATATTTTAAAATAATTTGCTTTTTAAGGTGTTGGATCAAATTAATGTTGCCAGAAGATATATATATAGGTTTATAAATACTACATGTCTATATAGGAAAATAAGTAAAATTTATAACCGTTATGGCGTTCAAGTTTGATTGTTTTTGATGTTTTTACAAAAGTAGTTCATTAGAAACAAACAAAAAAAAAAGGTAATAAATATTATTAAAATTATATTTGGTTTACTGTTATTATTATAACATAAAAAAAAAACAAATAACCTCCGTAAAATAAATATTATTTTTAATTACGCGTTTTTTATTTCTTGAACTCGATTTTTATGGGCAGTTTGTTTTAGTTTTTAATTCTACAACCTGTCCATTAAACGCGATGCTCTGTTATAACGCCCCGGCAAAAGAATAATTGACGATTCACAATTTTATAATACAATTTTTATAGCGTTGTTCGTATACCAACGAGGCAACAAACACGTCGTATTATATTGTATACGCGAGTCTCGTTCGAAAAGGAATTCCGACTACATAATGTGCAAAATATACTACACATTGTAATATTATTTCATACGCCAAGTATAACTGTTGATTCACGCGGAGCAGGTGCAGTCGTCTGATCGTTTGGTCATGTGGGCCGCGGGTTAGCAGTGCCACACGTACATTTATTATTATTATTTTACATGTGGGTTAAGTTGATAACATTACAATAATCATTGACGTCATTATTATCCGCAAATATATTAGTATATTACTGCACCTCTGAAACGAGCGAGACCCTTTTCAACCGAAATCGTATACCTATTACCTACACTAATCTGTTTTCGGCCGAGTCACTTTCCGGTCAAACCAAAATGTGTAATATATTTTATTTTATGTTATGCGATTTTTGGACGAAAACGTTTGTGTTCTCAACAACTATATCGCTACTACCACTACCAATGCCAATGCGTACTCGATAGCTATAATATGTCATATTGAGAATAGTAATAATATTTTCTATGGCTCTAAATGTATTACTTATTAGTTATTTTACATAGAGCTCTTGGATTCTAAGCAGAACAATGAATGTATTTTTTTTTGTTTTAGTTTATTAAATTTGCAGTTAAGTATGATTTCACGAATGAAATATTTATAGATTTTTGTGCAAACTAATTAATTTTATGAACTTGCGGTATATTTCTTGATTTTAAGATGGTTTATTGTTGCATATCAAAGAGCTCCCGAAAGGCGGTGTCGGGGGGCCATACTCACCGTTATTTCAGTTAGTATTAACGTTTATAAATAACAAAATACATAACATGACGTATTATTTTCTTTACTTTTTACTTTCCCCTCCTTTATATTTCTGCTGACACCCTTATATATTTTATCTGATGTTTAATGTAACATTTATTTTTAATAACAAATAAATTTGATTAAAAATAATTAAGATTTTAATCTTGTGGCTGTTTCGTAATCTCATCACCATATAATATTTGTGCTCATATTATGACATATCTATTATGCATTATCGTCGTGTTAAATTCGAACCACACATTATGTTTTTTTAATAGCTTAAATGAACTTATGTAGGTTTTTCTGACCACTAAAACCGCAAAACTGAAATTAAACTGAAAAATAAGATAGAATTTAAAAGTAATGTATGTGTGTATATAAACAATCCAACCAAGTCTATTTGTATTCATGGTTCTGAAAATTGGCGCTTAAGTAATCTTATACTAGAGGATGTGTATCTCAAAACCAATTTTTTAAATTTTCCATTAAAAGAAACTCTTTACACAGAAATTTATTAGCTTATGAAAAACGATAAATTTTTTTGTTTATTTATGGTTCATTAACTATAATAATTGTATATAATTTTAGAAATTTTAAAAAATAAACTTTATTTTTAATACAAGAAAAACGTCTAGTACGAATCTCGAATGTCTATTTAATTTAATACAAGGATAAATAATTATAGTTTTACATAAAATACAAAGTAATGTATATCAACATGACCTAATCTTATTCCAGCAATTATTATATTTGAAAAACCTTAAAAATAATAAAATGTTGATTGATTTGTATTAATTACTGTAAATTTAAAACCAAAATTACCGTATTTACATATTTTAAGCCTGTTTTTATGAGTTGTAATCCTTATAGTATATAAAATATTTCATAATTCAAAAACTAATTCAAGTACAATAAGATTTTTAAAAACATCAACTGCCTAACAGTTTATTATAAACAAGGATAGTAATCATTTAAAAAAAGTTCATCCTTATTCTTACATAACATTAAAAAGTATCCCAATATAATAATTGTATTTAGTGGCATAGACCATTAAACAAACATATGAATATATCTATCTACATATTATACATCATACACGATAAGAATATCATTAAAATAATATTGATCTAGGGAATAGTCTAGTTAAATAGAGTAATTAAAATTGGCAAGTGTTTGTATGTAAACCTATTCATCATATAATATGTGATACATTATAATTTCTTTAATCATTTTTTCTAGTGATATTTACTTTTTTCTCTGCATAAAACACGAAAATTACAGTAAAGATCTAATGCTATTAGCTATTGTAACTGCATAGTACGATTGTGGGTGATATCAACAAATTTACAATTCAATTTTGTTAAATAAGACTTTTCCTTAACAGCATACATATTTAGATTAGAAAAAATCATTGTAGTATGAGTAAAATGACTTGATAGAATACTGAATAAGTACTGTAAATTCTTTACCTTAAAAGTAAAAATTAAGTATACTTTTTTTCAAGAAAACAGAAATACTGTGCAATGCGATTTCCTGTTAAAAATTAAATATCTACCTGCTAATCAATATGTGTTGTGTGTGTAATGAGTATAAATGTCTAATAAGTATATAATTTTTACCAGAGAACTCTATTCCACATTGAGGAATTCAAGTTTAACCATACAATGTATATTTATAGAATATAAATATTTATTCTATGAAGTTTTAATTTTGATTTTGTAAAGTCACTTTAAATTGATAGGTAAGTAGATAATACTTTATCTTGTTACTCAATAATTGCATACAATGTTACCTAATTATTCCATTTATTAATAACAAGTTCGTGATAAAATAATACTTGGAGATAGAAACACAATAATATTATGTAGAGAAAATGTTATATTTGTATACATACAATGCCTTACAATATAAATCTAGTCACGAGTAATTTTTTATTTTTTAATCCTGTTTGATTGTAAAAAAAAAAAAAATAACGAAATAATTAATTTTTTTCCATAAGATCTCAGATAAAACAATTGTAGACTTTTCTTTATGCTCTACACGAATGTCGTATAATAGCTTATAAGTAGGTACATAAAATATAAGTAACAGGTGTTTTGTATAGGAATAGCTATTAGTAGTATACCTAGCTATATGGCTTCCGATACACGAATAAAGTATTCACAGTACACTTACTTATACTATGGAATTACAGAATAAGAATGTAAATTTTTATTTACTGTAGGTACATCTGATTTAATGTGTTGTTGTAATTTTCAAAAGAATATTTTAAGCACTTAATAATTAATGCAATTATTATTACAAATGGGTGTTTTTTTTTATATTTTTTTTTGTTTTATATTTTGAAACTTTTAAAAATAGAAACTAAATAATATTTGTATATTCAATTATTAATTAGCAGCTAAAAAACATGTGGTGTGCGAGTGAAGTTGTTCACTGTTTACAATATAGTAAAATTATTTACGTAAGGTATACGAAATAAAACAAATAAATATTAAATAAGTTTAATCAACATCTATAATACTCGTTGAAAGTTATAAATATAGTTTATTATATTATTATTTCAAATTAAACTTAATTTACTGTATGGGTGGTACCACTTGCAATTTGGTATCAGTCACAACCAACAGGCCATAATATCTGCAGATCAAAATAATAATAATTGTTTAGACTTTCATAAGCTATGAACAGCAAAAAGTTTTAAATTAATAAAGCACATAAAAATGTTTTAATTAAATTAAAAAACGCAGCACTTTTTCCTTTTACCAAATTTAGAAATTTCTATTACTATAATGTCAGTAGAGATTTATAATTTATTGCATTGACCTACAAGTACAATGGTTTTAAAAACCGATACAATTGTATAGATAAATTAAATTCTTTATTAAAATTTACAGGACACAAGGGTATGAAATGTATTGTAAATATCTAATTGACCACTCAAATAAGTAAAATATATATCTAACAAGTATTTTTGTTTCGTTTCAGGAACTTGTTCATTAGCTCATATAATCATCCAAAGATCAAAATGCACAAGAAAAATATAAAAAACCTGTGAGTATATAAGAAATTCAATTTAATTAAAATCAAACAATAAATTTAGGTTAAAATAATCCAATATAATTCATGGATGTTGATGTTCTTGTATAACATATTAGAATATAATAAATGTAATAAAAGTAATAATAAAAGAATGCAGAAAAGTAATTATAAAGAGGATAATTAGGATATGATTACTCAAATACATCTGTTAGTTATAAAGTATAATAAGTTAAGCCAAAATATAAATAATCTAATTATCGAGTATTGGGCAAACCTGCTTAAGAAACTTCTGAGTACGCTACTGACAACTTATGGGCATAGAATATAGGTCATCATCTAGCGCCGAGCGTTGAACAAATGTCTATGTGATCGTGATTTTTTATACGAAACAATAGATAATGCTTAAAAAAAATGATTGCAAATAAAAACAATGAATCAAAATAAACACTACGTAAAAGACCTCTTAACATATCAAACTTAGTGGTTAAGTGATTGTATATGTCTGGATGCGGATATATACATTATTGCTGAGTGTCTGACCACAAATCGTCGTAAACCATATAGTATTAACATATTATAGTGTTAATATTATACGTAGCTTCGCCATGTAAGTCGTGTACTGAAGTGCACATAACATACGCTTATCGCCACGAATCAAAATGATATATTATTATGTTTTAACTTTTGAGTCAAGAAATGAGTACAGATTTATTAGGTAAGAGCAGAGTTCAAAAAACGAAGAAATTGTACGGCTTAACGTTGGGAGAAATTTAAACGTTATTAACTTTTTACGTTTAACATTACGATACATTACTATACTATACCTAAACGTACTTATGTGCAATAATATTATGATAAGGCTGCAGTACGATTATATTTAAGCTTCTCTCCGTTTTCCTTATTACTTTTATGTAATCGTTTTATTTCGTTAGGAGAAAACTTGAATATTTCAATCCTAAGTTTAAAGGATTAATAATAATAAGTAATATTTTTAAAACTTTTAAAGAACCATAACATATAAAAATAAATTCTGAGTAAACAAATAAAAGACAATTTCAAATCGAAAGTTTTTTATTAGTATTATTGAAATCTGTTTAATGACAATATTTATAAAATTTATTGATAGTAAATAATTTGATTTATAGTTTCCTATTGTTCGTTTCAGTCATACATCAAAAAATCTATTTCACAATGTTCGATATATTAGCCAAAGCAATGATTTGAAATACTTGAATGGGAAAAATTGAACTGAAAAAAAGTCACAAAGTCTATAAATATGATATTCCATTTTTATTTAATTTATGTTTTTCGTCAACAAATATCGTATACCTACTGCAACACCTTATTGACAAACTATATTTACTATAATATCTAATCCAACGACTACGCCTATAATTTCTCGTTGTTATTACTTATTACTAACAACTCCATCAATATTTGTTTGAATAATTTAATTTTATAAATTATACAAATCTAGCGAAATATGTTCTCTACTTAAAATACACATAACGTTACATTATATTATTATACTCACATCATATATATTTTAATAAATACATTTACGAACTGATTGCATATGTGTGATACAAAATAACAATACTTGACATAACCGATTTTCCGCCCATACAAATACATAATAAACGATATTTGCTTAAAAAAACGATACCTGCTGTTAACCAGTACCTATCTATATACATATAATAACAACGTTCGCTTCGCCGGCGACAGCTCGAACGTTTTTGACATGTTGTCGAACACTTTACCGGCTGATTGGACTAGTGAAAACCGATAAATTGGCGGAACTCGAGTAGTATCGATTATTATAATATTATTATATTACGACGGTTTCATTTCCGTGAACTGTGTTGAACGGCGACAAATTGACGGCGTGACAAAAATGCGGCACAGGTGGTCTTCGCGCACGTCTATTTATAACGGTATATCATTATAACTTATAACAAAATAATATTCACACTTAATATTTAGGTATGTGGTAATTTCATTGCAGTATCATTTGTTATATGTAAGTTGATTCACAACCATACATGTTCACCCCCCTTCTTCTTTCATTTAATATAACGGATTTATTCAAATTCTGAATTTTTGAATTCTTAAATATACTTAAAGACCACATTTTTAAATTATCGAGATTATTATTCAAAAAGTGTCATGGAGATATAAATTTAAATTTTTCAAGTGAAAACCCCATTTCTACAGTTAATTATTCATAATTTTTTTTTTCAATTTTGATGTACCTACCTGATATTAAAATTTTAATGAGTCGTTTTACATTAATTAAAATAGTACGTATTAATGATAAAAATTCTTAAAACTATAAATTAGGCATTATATTGGATATAGTATTTATCATATTTGGACAATTATTATAAATTATAAATATTAAAAAACCAATATAAATTTACCAAAATTTTCAAATTACTATAGTCCTATATTTTCTAAATCCATCATCATAAATATATCATTCTTAGTACATAAATTCAAATAGATCAAAAATTACTTATTCGATTTTTTATTTTTATTTTTTTTAAAGAGTCAAAATAATTACTATAATACTAGCTAAATAATTTACTAATTGTAAAAAAAGTAAGCTTCTCATTTAAAAAAACAGAAGTTTTTTATCTCCACAAATCACTCTTAAGTACTTAATAAAAAAAAATTTTATCAGATTTTCAATGAGTTCACTATTGAGAGAGAAAAAGAGGTTGGTCATGTTTGGTGAATCACACATTAATATAATATGTATACTTTATGTAGGTAACCGATGAGGTACTTAAATTTATTTCACTGAATTCGTTTTCTGGCATAAACTATTATTGCTGTACTATATAATGTAAAGTTACCTTTAGTAACGTAACTATATTAATTATAAGAGTATTCTATTAAAAAAAAATATTTATGTCAACCGCGGACTACGAAACAATAAATACCTACTTACACGTGAAGGTGTAATGATGACGTACCTACGATAATATAAGCTTGACAACTATTATCATCACCACCCACTTCGCCGACACGCAAAACCGATTTATTCTATATTTCTATATATATAACAACTATTAGACAATATAAAATCTATAACTACTTGTTCAATTACCTGTCAGTTACTTTACTCTTTTACTTTCAGCAACTATTCTGCAGTTTACGAAGGAAAGTATTAAATTATTAATTTATCTTTGAATAGTTTTAATCACCTGTTATTTACGTTCGTGTTTGTAAGTGGTCATGTACAATATTTTAAATCTACATAATTTATTAGTACCCGTTGAGGGGAGGTAATCTGAGTGCTTATGTTATTAATAAAACATCCTAAAATAAAAATTATGTTTTAATTGCTTAATTATTCATATTTGTCCTATAATTTAAATTAACTTAATTTACCAGCGAGTACATAGGAGAAAACTAAATACCTAATCTTTAAACAATTTTGTTTATATTTTTATTTTATTAATTACCTATGATAAAGGTTTTATATGATATAATTTTCTGTAACTTTGTTAATTAAAAATTTTATTATTTTTTTTTTATTATTATTGAGGCGAATACTTACATCAAACATTTGTTCTAGGTTGAATCTTAAACGCTACGCTAATATCTTGAAAAAATCTTATAATTTACCATGTTTCGATTTTTCAGTTATTGTACTCAATGAATATTATTTATTTTTTGATAGACTAGTATATTTTTTTATACGCCTATATCATAAGAAAATGTAATAGACATTTTTTGATCAAGTCAAATTTTTGATATTTCTAAAAATGAATAAAAATACATGTAGATGGAAGAGGTGAATAAATTAAAAATTAACAATACAATTACGAATGTAATTGAACTCTACCAAAAATATCAGCAATAGAGAAGTACTTGATCAATTAAAATTTAAAAATGTACAATTTTTAAAACGAAATGCTATTGAACACTTTGGTTGCTATATAGTATAATATTATAATTATAATCAGTGCTTATTTCAAATAATTATCTGACAGTGGATGGGTATTTATAAAATTTGTGTTTAAGGTTATCGTTATACATATGGGAAAAATAATTATCCCGTATAATATAACATTTATTGTTTTATATTGATTTTCTTACGTGAACAGGAAATATATAAAAATGAATTACTCAAGGCTATTATATAAACCTATTGATCACAAACTGACAACCAAAATATTTTTTAGAAATTCTTCAAATTAGTTTTATTGACAATATTGTAAATTGGGCTCTTTATATTATTTAAATTATTTGTCTATTCAACTTGTTCTGTTAAATCAAATTGCATAAGTAAATAATAATATTTATAGAATAGATATTAAATATTATGTCTAAACGCTAAGTTATAGCTATTATATTTTTATACAGATATCTACGAAAAAAAAAATGATAATAATTGTAACTATAAAAATTAGCTACCTTATTTTTACTTTCATACATGATTAATTACTTCCAAAATAATTAAATGACTAATTACTAATAATACCAAGCACATTATTTTTATTTGTAGGTATTTAATTATTATCATCAATAAAATATTATACTGTTCATCACTTTCCACAGGAAAAAGCTGTTCACTCTTCTCAGTGCCGGATCTAACATTTTTTTAACCCGGGGCAAAATATGAAATTGGCGTCCTTCTATATCAATAACCTTTTTTTTTTTTTACTTATTACATAATTAAAAATTTGCGCCCCTTTATGAATAGTATTCGGGGCACGTGCCCCGGATTGCCCCCCCCCCCTAGATCCGGTGCTGACTCTTCTGTAGCCTATTTCATTAGACACTATGATAGTATAAAATAATATATAACTAAAGCATTTCTTGATACCTTCACGACGTATTTTATAAACTTTATAAATTTCTGACCTCTCACCATCGCCAGAACAGAAATAATATATTATTAAAATATCAAACGTGTGGCACGTGTCAGACTTATATATTATCGCGCCATCCATCATAAATTCCACGGGCGCAATTTAAGAGCGTATTGTTGTTATAAT